TAGTGAGGCCTACATGTCCCTAATACGGCAGTGGGTGAAGAAAAGACACCTTATTGATGTTATTCAACTTTTAGAAATAGAAAAAAATATCAAAGTAAAAACCCAAAAGCTTTAGAAATGGATGCAGTGATATACTTTATTTTGGGCACAGAAAAACATGCCTTCCTTCTTTACCTTACTCCTGGTTTACCCTACATACAACTCCACACCTGCACATGGCCACCTCCAGCTCTCGTGACACAGCTAACAGAATCCTCTGTCTCCCTCAGTTTGCTGTGGCTGCTATTACAAGATTATGTAGCAAAACAAGAATATCCAGTTGTTGGTCATTGATTTATCTATAAAACAGTAACTGTAAAAATGATAGAAGAGGTTCTGTACTAGACAGTCTTGTGAAACAGTTTATTACTTAAGCATTAATGACCCGTTTAGAGGTCTTTACTGGTCAGGTAATGACCAGCTAAAGGAGTTAAGGGCCCGAGGCAAAGCACTCTAATAAAACCCTGTATACAGCATGTGTTTGGTTCTTCCAAATTCTATTAGGAAAGAGAAGCATAAAGGGTAATGAAAGACATGTCCAAGAGGCACTCATATCAGCCCTCTCATTTTATATTTGGCATAACACATGTGGCCTTATTCCAGTGGCACAAATCATTCCTTGTTTATACTACCACCTATCATGGAGAAGAGCAGTAACTACAGCCGAAAATGGCCAGCCATGATGTTAAAGACCCTGTTGCTTTGGGCAAATAAACCTTCCTCCAACTGACAGAACCCATCCTGCTACTGGAACATCCACTGTCCTTTGCACCTACAGAGAACGAGTGCTCCAAAGGAGAAGGGAGACAATCCAATATTTGCTGCCAGGCATCTCAGACAGCCCTGCCAGTCCTAAATCCTACTCTAGTGGTATTAAGGGTGCAGGGATTAAGTGCTTTCTGTATGCCCATGCAATTCTACTTGAATATGAATACCCACTTGCTTTTTACTGTTTGCATTATGAGAAAAGGCACATTAAAACCAGAGTTTTATACTGATATCTCCAATCTGAGACAGAACAGCTGTGTATATATATATATATATATATACACTCGCCAACAAATTAGAAACCAAGGGTTGGAACACTACCCAGGGCCTCACTCTTGGCTTCAGAGGCAGGTAAAACACACAGGCCCACACAACCACATCTCACTATTACAACCCCACAGCAGCATTGATTTTAGTCCTGATTTACAGCATCATTTGTTCTTGATAAGAGCCACTTGCCAGCACTACTCAGAAAAAAGTAAAATACAATCTAGGAGTGTAAATTAGAATCAAGAGAGGATAAGAAGCTAAAAACTGCTAAAAAACAATGGTCAAGATTCCTGTACTTGCGAGACAACATATTCCAGGTACAAGCAAGTTTATTTGCTCAACATTTATTATTGTCTTCTCAATAGCAAATGAGGATAAAGAGCATTCTGATGAGTAAAAAAGTTTTTTAGTAAAAAAGTTACTTAATCTCACTGTCACTTCCTTGCCTATAGTATATTTCAGTATTTATTTTAAAAATCACTCTGCAGTGTTTACATAACTAATTCTAACAGCTTCTGTAGAGTATTTCTAAATTTTTTGTGTGTAAACAGCCTTTTAAGCCATGCTCAAGGCTTATTTCAGACTTTAACAATCCTTCAGAGCTATTGCAGCTAATCATATAAACACACATTAAGCCAAATTTAACTCATCTACTGAGTAGTGAAATGGTGGCTTAACACTTGTACCTTCCAGCTTTCAAGGTTAAATATCTCAGTGCTTTATTTCAGACCATCTGAAGTGATCACAACAGTCTAGGCATTTACTAAAATTAAGTTCTCCATCAGAAGTGGGCATAGCAGAAAACACACACAGTGTTAAATAGAAATTATTATTTCTACAGTTACATACTTTGGAGAGCTAGGGATACAAAAATAAAATTCAGGCCTTAACTAGAAGTCGATTCAGTGCATACAGCACAAAGCCTGTATGCAAACCACAAGATTTCTTAGTTTAAATCCAAATTACAATTTTTTTGCAACACAGGGTTAACAGCAAAAGTGCTGACACAACACTAAGTGTATAGTGGCGCCTGCAAGCAGCGCTATAATTAATCTAAGTGTACTGTCATTACACTAAACACTGCTTCTGCAGCATCATTCCAAATCATGAGGCTCTTTCTCTGTTTCTCAGATAACATGCAGTTTATTTCCAATCATGGCATGATTTGCTAACGTAACATTAGGTCTTGAAGCAATATCTTAATCAAATCAGAATCTTCTGTAAAACAAATCTTTGGCTCTTGGAGAATTAGTAACATCTAATGCCTTGGGATAGAGATGTGAAACTGTGAGCTGAAAAATGCACTGCTGGAGACCATACTCAGCCTCCTTGCTTCCAGCCATTTACAAGTACATCTATCTAGCCTCCTACCTACACACCTCCACTTTATATGGTCATAAACCACCAATGCAATATCTAAATTATACCCTGAAAACTCCAGGTTTGAAATGGGTTGTATGAAAATTCACCTCATGTGGTTTATTCATTTCTGCAAGAATACAAAGCTCTGATTCCTTTTGGATGGAACTCATTTAAACAAAGCCCAACAGCAAACACCCATAAATTAAAGCATTATTGGTATTTATGAAAAGACACACATAAACTGAGTGAATTTTGTGTATAAGGCTTAAAAAAAAGGAAAGAAGTGGAATCTTGCATATAAAACACTAATTGCATTCACAAAGTTATTAAGCACTTTGTGGATTAATACTTTGAAATACGCATTACAGGAAAAGAAATAAAAATGCATGATGTCTGGAAACCTGTTTATTTACATGCATTATAGATTTCTTTCCTAATGCCTCCTACATACACTGAAGTTATAATGTATTAATAAACTAAGAAAATATGGGAACAGAAGGAATTTAAGTATTTCACAATATCTGTCTGAAGCTAGTAATTTATAATGGATATAAACTTACCCAGAATATACTCACTTCACTTCAACAAAAGCTATATTTGAAGCAATTGTCTGATTCAGTGAGCAAGCTACTATGATTATGCTTACCAAATTAAAATATATATATATGAGAATTATTTATTCTTTACTTTTCATATACAGGTCACTGATTAAAAGCCAAGAAGAATTCTATAGCAGGATTTCTATAGTTGTGACTTTAATGTGGAATTGGTATGATAAATTAATGTACATTACTTTGGAGGACTCTTAAGACTGTTCAGTATTGAGCTGGTAAATTTATTTACAGAAACTAAAAAACACACAGTAAACGTCAATGACCAGATGAGAAGCCATGGAATTGGGCCAGCACTGGCCACTGAGTTGTTCTGCACCTTCACCCTTTGCAGAGTTGTAACAGTGAGACCTGGATAAAACATCTTCAGAAGTACCTGTGTTTAAAATACACAAACGCCACCAAGCAATCATTCAGGCTAAAGGTTGATGTGCTGCAAAGTCAAGTCATATTTTTCCACCAATAAATGTATTTTATCCAGTAAACAAAGAGGACTGCAGTACACATACACAGACATACATAATCAGAGAAGCCACAAAATATGCCTGATAACTATTCTACATTTCAAGAGTGACTAATGATTACAGGCACATGGTCTTAGACCACAGGGTGTCAAAACCTAGAGCAAAGTAATATTAACAAAATAATCATATTTATTCTTTTATATCTAAAGATGGCAGTCCAAAAACATTTTAATTTAGCAGCAATTTTGCTCCACTCCTTGTATTGGCAGTGGCATTCATGCAACTGCACAGGCAGATAGACCAGGAAATTAATCTGGCTGCAAAGCAATTTCCCTCCCTCCCATTCCCACCCCCACAAAAGAGAATGAGCAGGACCATTCAGCTGATCTGATTCACAACATGACATCCTAAAGCCAGTAGCAGCCCAAGGCAAACAGAACAAATGCATGGCTGGGGTAACACTGGAAGGCAGGACAGAATTTGTCATGTATGTGTCAGATGTAAAGTCAATGAACAAACAATTGGCAGTGTCCAGACAGTGATATTTTAAAGACATGAATACCTGAGGTTCACTATTCTCTTTGTCTTTTCAAGCTTCCCAACTCTCACATTCGGAAATCCAAACTACTTCTGGCTCAGACAGCCACATATGAAATGTACCACTATAACAGCTACTAACATGACCATGTCCTCTGTGCCAGGCAACAGCAGCACATCAGGCTATTGCTATTGAACTGCAATGGCCAAACGCTGCCAGCTGTTACAGCCTGTAGACATACCTGTAGTTAGGGAAAATTAAATTTAATACCCACAGCACAGACACAGAGTCCACCACTTTGCTTGGTAGGGTGATTCTCTGAAGTACAGAGACCACCAGAAAGCTGCTGAGGAAGAACATCCTAGGCCAATGTCCTATAACACTGAGAAAGAAGAGACCAAGGGTGTACTGTCCCCTGTTGACTGAAGAAAGGCATCAGCAGCAAGAGACAAGGTGGTTAAATTGTTTGCCAAGTGATACTTCAGCACTAGCCACACCTGGTTAACTCTCCACATCACCAGGTCACAAGTGTGCCTGGGAGGACAGATGAGCGCAGCAGCATTTGAGAGCCAGAGACAGGCCCTCAGCTCATGCCTCCACATCTACTTAATCCACTTCCCATTTTTAACATTCTTTCCTCAGCAGCATGAAAGATCTGCTAAGACCACAAGCAGGCAATGACAACGGGAAGCAAGGAGTGCTTGGGATGCAAATCACCCCACCATGGCATGCAGGCCACGGTCACCCAGGTTCTGCTGCCCCTCAAAGGCAACGTGTTCACTTCCACGGCACAATGGCAGCTCACATCTGTCAGCCAAGATGAAAAGTATGAATCCTGGTTATTTTATCCCATTTTTACCAGCAAGAAAACATAAACACTTCTGACTAAAGACCCAACCACCCTCCCCAGGTGAATCCCTGGCCACAAAGCTAAAGTATCAGACTTACTTCTGGCGCTGCGACTGCTGCATTTTTGGTTGTGTTGTAGCTCATCTTCAGGCAGGTGCATAGAGGCTGGTTCCTCCAGGGTACCCTCTTGCTGGAGAGAGCAGCAGCCTCTGCCCTCTCAAGGTGCTGAGAGTCCCAAAGTCATGCTTTCTCTGCCACCAGGTGATTACAGTAAAGCCACAAAGTGCTATTATGGCAGCAAAGCTTTCCGAGGGTTTTGCTGCCTTCAAGGAGACAAGATGGGCTCAGATAGCTCACATCAGAAGAGGGCTGTAGGCACCAGATCATTAGTGGGCAGATCCAACCCTGAGTCAGAGCCGTGTGCCAGCCCTAAAAGGCAGGAGCTCAGACATCATCGTGTATCCTGCATTTGCTAGTGGCTAAATCGAGTGATTAGTCAGCACGGAGAGCTGCTGAATCACTCTTCAAAGGCACCTATCCCCTGCTGACATCAGCGAGGCAGCACAGACAGCCGGGGCTGCTCGGCAGGGACAGGACCCTGGCACTGGGTCCCACAAGGCCTGAACTGCTTCAGAAATCTGATCCCCACCTGCCACAACACACTTGCTAACACAGTAATAATGTTCACATGCATAGCAAAGAGATGCATGCAATGTTGTATTAGCTGTTCGTGCAATTCTTCTGATAATATAATTTAAGATGTAATGCAGTATTTACATTTGGTCTTAAAAAATATTAATATATTTCAAAGTCTTCTATCTCTCATTATTAATTATTTGGGTATCAATTATTTTAGATTAAATGAATGTAGGCATTGATATTCATAGAAGACAAATGACATACTAAGCAGATGAGAGAATTACATTAATTACTTCAGTCAGCTTAAAACCTCTTTAAAACCCAAAACCTCTTTTTTGATTAAATAAAAAAAATCACAATATTGATATCATAATTTATTACTGTGATCCTTTAACATTTTACTGACCATAGCAGATTTCACCCGGTTAAATCTGAATTCTGTCAACCCTCACAGTAACAAAACCCAGTCTTGGAGATAAGGTGTTCTCCACAGGGGCCAAACAAAAGCTAATCAATATTTTCTAGCTAAAGGACAATCTTTGAGTCAAGATCTGTGCAAGGAAAATCTTTAGCTAATTCTTAGAGGAAACCAACTACTTAGAAATACATAATAAACAACTAAACTTATTGCTTCAGAAGTTTAACAGGAGTTCTAAAGAGTGGCAATTATTTTCCCATGCTAGTGGATGAAAATAAATGTAAACAGTACTTAAAAATGATGCATGAGACAGAAAATATTTGTGACATAAATCGCAAAAACTAATACAGTGAAACTCCTGCTCTTCAGTGATAAAACTGAACAAAAGGCATGCTGGTGTACAGGGGCTTTGTTCATGACAGAATTTGGTATTGTTCTAACATCTACATTGACAGAAAATGGCTGTTAAGCCCTGTGTAAAGAATATATTTACATTTTTTCTTATTTTCTGTTTCTTTTTTATATCTGAAATCAATTAAACAATAATTAAAAATTGATTTTTGGAATGCTTAATCCTGTACATTTGTGAAGGATTGTTTATTTTTAAAGTAGGGTTTTGTTCCTTCTGGGGAGACTTAAATATCATTGAACAAAATCCTCAGGACTTTTCTTACCAAACAGTGGGATTTACAACAGAGAGGCAAATCCTCCTCTCATTTTTTTAGAGGAGTGCTCCTGTCAAAGTCAACGACACTGCAGCATCCTTGAAAAGCAACAGAGCTCACACTGTATCACCCACTGGAGTCAACAGGAGTGCCAGGAGGATGATAAACTGAGCTATGTTTCAGAAGCACTTTAACACCTAAACAGAGACAAATTAGAAACACTTAGTGGAGGTGTGTACAGGAGAGGTTAATACAATTCCACAGAATGTCGCAGTTCGGTTCACATCTCCAATCTGTCCACTCATGGTGTGGCAAAAAGTCAATATATGTATTTCAAGAGCCATCAGTAACTTCCCCACTAAATCCTGATTGTACTACGACCATGGGAGGCTTCCAAAAGATGCAAGTTACATCCAACAGACACATCTAATGTGTTTGTGCTTGAAGACTGAGAGAAGGGCCCCATCTGACCACGAGAGGGAGAATTGAATCATACACATTGTTTATTCACACACATTTCCATCTCAAACCAAGTTCACAAGGAGGGCAGTTCATAACTCCAGTATATCCAGGGGACTCTGGGCACAGCACTGAGATCCCTGCTCAAATGTCCTTAAGGGAAGAGGGAAGAAAACCAAACCCCAGAATCTCCCTTTTATCAAGGGATGTTGAAGCACAGTTAGGAATGCTGGGGTCAACAGGGAAGCACCATTTGAAGACATACAGGGTATGAGCTTTCCTAAGGATCTTTGGAAAGACTCAGGAAAGCTGTCACAGATGTTCTCAGCTGCAGCCATGCATTGTGGTTTCCACCTCAAAACAGGATACTGGTGTTTCACTTTTGGGATTAGCTATTTCTGAAGTACCACTGATGCTCAAAAGTCTGTATAGGTGGCTGGCTAGTTTTGTTATAAGCTTCTAGACACTGCATTTAGCTCCTAACAGTTCTGCTTGTTTGGATGTTGTCAGTCCTGTTCCTCATATGGAACACAGCAACAATTATGACCCCAGTCCCCCAAAAACCAGAGATCCCGATGACAGAATTTTCAACAAAGAATGTGGACACCGAAACCTGATCTTTTCCTCAAGTCTGCAGACCCAGAGTTTGCTGATAACCCCTTTTCAGGCCCACTGCAGAGTTCATCTCTTTTCTGGCTGCTGGAGAAGTCACAAATTGAGGAATGTATTAGGCTGTCGTGAGAGGTTTATGTTTACTACATTTATTGCTGCTGATAGCAATAACTAAGAACAGTCCCCACTGTGCAGGACTTTGCAGATCTGCAATAAGTTCTTGTGTTCTGGTCGAGTTTCAGTGCTTGGAGAAGTGCAGAGTAATGGATGTAAATAAATAAATTGCAACATGTGGATTATTTCACCCAGCTTCAAAACACACTCCTATTCCTCATTTTTCAGGATCAACCATTCCTCACACTCACTCCTGAGGATTTGCTTTATTTACAGAAGAACTCATAACTGTATGAAAAATTCTATCTCAAGGCTGTCCAGGGTGATTTGTGACTGGAATAATCACAGACCAGTTATGAGAAATTTGAGGCAGTATTAAGCATAGAGCATGTTTTGTTTGTTGGCCAGGATGTCTGAACCTTTTACTGTACTTGAATATATTATGTAAATCTCCAGCCAGCTATAGGAGATGGGAAAAGCTCCGTTAACACAAAGCATGTCACAGCAGATGTGACCGGGTCCCAAACCTTACATGTCAGCAGATAGATCTGGAAATTCCATCTCAAGCCAACAGCAGTTTTTTTAACCTACTGATGTTTGATGAACATCCACTTACGTTCAACAGAAGAACACATGATGTACATTCTCCTGCTTTGGAGGCATGTAGCTAATTTTTCTCCATTGGATATTTTTTCCTTAGAACACAGCTAAAATCTAATTCTACTCAGAAAAGCCAGTCTGTATCTGACATACAACAGCAATATGGGAACACCTGAGCCACATTTCCTATGCCACTGCAGCTGCAACAAAATTAATGGGCTGACCTACCTCAGAAGGGAGTGAAAACAAACTTTTCCTGCACAATAGCAAAAGCTTTGTTCAGAAATAGGTCTACTTACACTATTTCATGTTACAGAGTTATAGATACTTATGCTTAGGAGAGGGCATTTTGAAATCCAAGACACAGAAAAGCAACTGCTGCTAAATTACTATGCCATGGATGTAATGCAGCTTGGGAAACAACAGATCACCAGCCCATTTTCCAGTTGTGTGGAGAAACCAGCTGCAATTCCATTGTGTGATACCACAAAGCATCACCATAAGAACACAGAGGTGTACTGTACATAGATGGTAAAATAGGTTAAACACATGCCCTATATCATGCACATGTATACACAGTGCATATATGGATATTGGCATACAGCACACAAACAATCCCAGCAGCTACAAAGGTGTGTGCACACATTTACAGAGCTATGTATGAGATCTCTAAAGCTCAAGAACCATCCCTAGCACACACTCAGGGGCTGTTTCTGGACAGTGTGTCCCAGATGACAGTGCAGCATGTCCCCAGCGCTATGGGGCAGGGAATGGCATGGGGCTGGCACATGCCTCCCCATGTCCCTGGAGCAGGACATGCAGCACAGGGCTGGAGGGCACTACCAACCACCCACCCCCCTGACCAAAGGGGCCCCAGGAACTGCCAGCACTGACACAGCAGAATCAGTTTATTTAGGTGGGTACTTTCTTGAAGCTCAAGAATCTGCAAAGAAGTTTTAATGAGTTTTGCAAGTCCTGCTGAAAGCAGAGGCTCTCAATGGACCAGTAAAGCTGGCCAGTGATACTAGAAAATACCAATGCCAGCACTTCTGATAAGCAGGTTAGCCTGCAATGCTTCAGCTGCTATCCTTGGTGTCACTAACCGCTTCATCCTGAGTGTAATTGACTCCAGGGGAAAACAAAAGAGGGGATTTTGGTTTGTTTTGACAAATCCACTGCAAGGCACCACACTAAGGTGCCAAAGGCTACTTTGTATTTACAATGCTGATGATAGGCACAACTCAGAAGTTTCCTGACCTCAAGTACAAACACAACATGAAAGGTGATATATCAAACTGACACTATCACAGCTAGGAAAAAAAAAAGAATAGAAAGAAAAACACCTCAGATTTATACCAGGCTTGCCTGCCTAGCATAAATACTAACATCAAGCTTGCAGGCTTTGTTATATCAGTGCTTAAAAGTCTGTGATACAGCACAAGGGCAAAACAGTACAAAACCAAATGGAAAGTGTTTCCAAACATAAACTTAGAGGAAGAAGAGGAAGAAATTTGCTGGACCGGAAAGGAACTTCAAGTTCACAGAAGTAACAGCACATTCAGGCCTCCAGTACCTTCCCTTTGTCTTCATGCCTCATCTTACCTCCAACCTGCAGGCTGTGGCATCCCTGATTATTGCTCCCACACTTTTTTTTCCACCCTACCCTTGTGCACGTGTGAGTCCTAGCCCTGCAAAGGGTTTCAAGCCCTTAAAATACACATCTCCCAGAAAGTCTCTGTACCTCAGGCTTCTTTACATTGAGGCATAAATAAAAACACTACTAAAAAACCCAAAAGAAAACAGGCTTCCTCCTGCTAAAAAAAAAAAAAAAAAGTTATTGTTTGTTAT